CTCTCTCTCTCTCTCTCTCTCTCTCTCTCAAAAATAAATAAATAAACATTAAAAAAAGAAATAAAAAAAAATTTCAACAACCCAAATAAAATAATTCATTGGATGGGTTCAATAACAGAATAGAGATGACAAAGGAAATAGTAAATATATAAACAGAGCAACAGAAATAATCTAATTGGAATAGATATAAGATTGAGAAAGAAAGTGAATAGAACTGCAGTGAATTGAGAATGGTAGTAAATTCTAAGACTCATATCAGCTGAGTCTGAGGAGAAGAGAAAAACGTGGATTAGAAAAATCTTTAAATAGGGGCACCTGGGTGGCTCAGTCGGTTGGGCATCTGACTTCGGCTCAGGTCATGATCTCACAGCTCCTGAGTTCGAGCCCCACATCAGGCTCTGTGCTGACAGCTCAGAGCCTGGAGCCTGTTTCAGATTCTGTGTCTCCCTCTCTCTCTGACCCTCCCCCATTCATGCTGTGTCTCTCTCTGTCTCAAAAATAAAAATAAAACATTTTAAAAAATTAAAAAAAAAAGAAAAATCTTTAAATAATGGCTGACAGCCTGGTTTAGTATTAGAAGGCAATCAGTATAATCTATTTTATTAGCAGTTTAAAGAAGGAAAAAACACTGGATCATATCAATTGTGTAGAAAATGCATTTGAAAAAGTTAACATGTATTCACGATAAAACTCTCAGCAACCTATGAACAGAAAAGACTTTCCTCCACCTTGTGAAGAACTATCTACAAGAACATACAGCTATTTTACATAATGATGAAAGACTGATGGGGGACTGCTCCCCCCCCTAAGATCAAGAACAAGGCAAGGATGCTCTCTTTCACCACTACCATTCAACCTTTTCCTGGAAGTCCCAGCCAATGCAATAATTCAAGAAAAATAAACAAAAGGCATACATATTTGAAAGGAATAAATAAAACTCCCCCTATTCAGAGATAACATGACTGCCTATGTAGAAAATCCAAAGGAATATACACATGCATGCACACACACACACACACACACACCCATGCATGAGGGTGTACACATACACATATACCCTAGAACAAATAATTGAATTTACTAAGATTGTAGGATACAAGGGCAACACACAAAAATCAGTTATATTTTTCGATACTAGCAATGAACAATTAGAAACTGAAATTAAAAAAAATACCATTTACAGTACCTCAAAAAAAGGCCTATATATAAATCTAACAAACACATATAGGATTTATAGGCTAAAAATTACAAAATGTGGATGAAAGAAAACAAAGAAATCCTACATAAATGTAAAGTATGGCTATGCTGACTTCATAGAGTGTAAGGCAAAACATAGGATTGATTTACAGATTTAACATAATTCCAATCAAAATCCCAGCAGGAAATTTTATAAACAGACATAAGCTAATGCTCATATTTATATGGAAAGGCAAAGGTAATAGAATAGTTGAAATGCTTTTGAAAAAGAAAAATAAGATTGGAAGAATCATGCTGATTTTAAGACTCACCAGAAAGCTATACTAATCAAGATGGCAAAGTACGGGCAGAAGAATAGACATGTTGATCAATGGAACACAATCAGCATCAAGAAATAGCTTCCCACATATACATTTAGTTGGTTTTTGACAAATGCACCAAGGCAATTCAACAGAGGAGGAAGGATAAGCATTTCAACAAATGGTGTTGAAACAAATGGACTTCCATATGTATACAAATGAACTCTCGCCCAAATCTCACGTCATACAAAAATCCACTCAAAATGAGTTGGAGACCTAAAGTATAAAACTTTTATAAATTTTTAAAAATGTTTATTTCTTTTTAGAGAAAGAGAGAGGGAGAGAGACAGAGCACGAGCAGAGGAGGGGCAGAGAGAGAGGGAGACACAGAATGGGAAGCAGGCTCCAGGCTCTGAGCTGTCAGCACCGAGCCTGACGCAGGGCTTGAACCCATAGACTGAGAGATGATGACCTGAGCCAAAGTCGGATTCTTAACCGACTGAGCCACCCAGGTGCCCATAAAGTATAAAACTTTTAAGAAACCATCTAGGAGAAAATCTTCATTATTGTCATGCAAAGGCTCTTAGACATGTCACCTGAAATGTCACCTATGTACGAAAAAAATAAATTGGACTTCATCAAGATTAAAAACTTTTGCTCTGCAAAGGAAACTGGCAAGAGGATAAGAATTCAAGCACAGACTGGAGGAGAATATTTGCAAATCTCATCTCTGACAAAGGATGATATTCACGGAATATATACAGAACTCTCAAAATTCCACTGTAAGAAATCAAATAACTTCATTTAGAAATAGGCCAAAGAACTGAATGAACACTTCAAAGAGAAGATACAGATAGAAAATAATAACAAAAAACTGAACATCATTGGTCAGTGGGGGAATGAAAACTAAAGTGATAGGGAAATATCCATACACACCTATGAGAATCATGAAAATAATGATAATGAAAAAAGAAATACCATTGCTGGTGGAAATGCAAAATGGTTCAGCACTCTGGAAAACAGTTCGGCAAGTTCTTTTAAATCTAAACATACAGTTACCATATGAACCAGCAAACCCCACTTCTCTGTGTTCACCCTGGAAAAATTTCAACTATGTTCACAAAAACCCCGGTTCTCAGATGTTTATAGCAGCTCTAGTCATAACTGCCCCAAATGGGAAGCAGCTGAAATGCCCTTGCACAGGTGACTGGAAAGCAAACTGTGGTTCATTTCTAGAATGGGTAGCACTTAGCAATAGAGAGGGACAAACTCCACACACAACTTGGATGAATCTCAAAATAATTATGCTGAGTGAACAGAAGCCAGTTTCAAAAGATTAGGTTTTATATGACGCCATTTCTATGGCACTCTTAAAAGAGACAAAGCTAACATGACAGGAAACAGAGCAGTGGCTGCCAGTGAATAGGGTGGGAGAGGGCATGGCCATCAAACAGAGCAGAAGGGTGGACTGGGGGTGGGGAATGAGGTGATTCTCTCATCTGAGAGTGGTAATAGTAACATAAATCTATGCATGTTGGGGCACCTGGGTGGCTCAGTTGGTTAAGTTTCTGACTCTTGATTTCAGCTCAGGTCATGATATTACATTTTGTGGGTTTGGGCCCCGCATTGTTCTCTGCACTGACAGTGCAGAGCCTGCTTGGGGTTTCTCTTTCTCCCTCTCTCTCTCTGTCCCTCCCTCAGTCTGTTTCTGTCTCTCTCTCAAAGTAAATAAACTTAAAAAAATAAATCTATGCATATGTTAAAATTCTTAGAATTGCACCCCAAAAGGTCAATTTTTCAGTATTTTCATTTAAAAGATAAAATTAAGGAAGAAAAAAGCTGACAATTCTCATTTTCTATTTAAGGCTGTCTAGATATTAAGCACAATGTCAGTGCCAGTTACCGAGGCTGCAATGACAAAGGGGATCTTCTTCAACTGTTTTTGTTTGTTTTTTTCTTCAACTGTTTTTTGAGCCTCTGCTACACACAGGTCATTCCACTAAGCATTTGACATCACAGCTTCTAATGCATGTAATCACCCTGGAAGGTGGGTTAGGCTCAATATACAGAAAAAACTGAGGTTAAGGGAAGAAAATAATCTGCCCTATGTGTCACAGGCAGTAAGTGGCTGGATCTGGATTTGGCCCCAGCTCTCGCTGCCAACCTCATTCTGAACCTGCCTCTTTGCACTGCCGCTTACTTCAGAGCAACGGAAATGCAGGGAGAGGATGTGACTACTGGGAGGTGAAAATCACACTTTGATGTATGTATGTCATAAATGTTCAGTAAGCATATTTTATTCTGAACCCTGAGTTTGTCTGACATTCTGGGAGCTTCAGGGAAAGTTAAAAATTGCACTGTTGCTGCTTCCCTATTGCCATTTTCTCAGAACCCTTGAAGAGCTGGCTTTTAATTTTCACCAGGATTGAGTGGTAACCTCCACCATTCCCACAAATGTAGAGTAATCCACATCATTTCCTAAGTGAATTAAGGGATGGCAGTGATTTATGATACTTAACCAAGTCTTAGCTAATTCCATAAACAGTGGCTTATACATTTGAAGCCAAGGCTAATCATTTAAAAATTCTCTCACGCATTTGTTTGTTCTGAGAAATTGTTATAGGCTCTTCCCACCTTTTACCCCACCAAACACACACACACACACACACACACACACACACACCCCACAAAGATTTTCAAAATACACAAAGTAAATCCCTTTTAGAGGCTGAGACAGAAATTGCACACTTTTCATGTAACAAATGATATCTACATGTATGGCTTGATGATGAATTCTGCCTTCTTGCGTATGAATTATTACTACCTATTTTACTGGCTGCTAGGTGGTTTTTCTTCATCAAAAACTTTGGCCTAAAGTATTTTTGTCTGAGTGAAGATAGAGATGAGAAATGTTCAGGTCTTAGGGCGCCTGTGTGGCTCCGTTGGTTAGGCAACCAACTTCGGCTCAGGTCATGATCTCACAGTTTGTGAGTTTGAGCCCTGCGTTGGGCTCTGTGCTGACAGCTCAGAGCCTGGAGCCTACTTCAGATTCTGTGTCTTCCCCTCTCTCTCCCCTTCCCCTGCTCATGCTCTGTGTCTCTCTGTCTCTCAATAATAAATAAATGTCAAAAATTTTTTAAAAAAGAAATGCTCAGGTCTCCAATAAAATGTTTTCTTGAATGTTCTATTATTTCTGCTCTATGGAATATAGTTCCTTTAAAAAAAGTGATTTCTGATAAATTGACTCAATATCTTTAAGCTTTAATGCAAAGCAAAGCCGAACTAATAATGCCTTTTGCACTATTACTGTAGAATTGAGTAATCTATTCCATACTCAAAATAAAGCCAAGAATAACAAAAATAATTTCATCACCCCCCCCCCACCTTTTTTTAAGAGTCCAGGTACCACCATTGTCAGGCAACAAAAATCTTCTTATCTTTTGTCACCGGGTTGCAAGGTAGTTAGGGCCAAGAGAGTGGCGTGAGATGAGGAGGCTAGCTTACCTTCCAGCAGGTCTCTGGCCAGACCAGGTTCTGCCCCCGTGGACCGAACAAAGTCTGACAGGACTGCGTCCATATCAAGAGTCATAGGATCATGTAGAAGGGCTGCCCAACACTCAGCCGAGGTGGGGTTTGGAAGCAGGCTAGAAACCATCCATCTGCAAGAAAGAATAGGGAAGCCACAGTGCTGTAAGTGGGGATGTAAGTGGCAAAAGTGCACGTGAGTGAGAACACACAGAGAATGGAGAGAAGCCATTTCTGCCTATTTGGGATAACTGCTCCATTCTTCATGTAGGACACTGAATAAAACTCAAATCCAAGTTTCATCCCTCTGAGTGCGCCCTATGAGAGAAGGGAGGGCATTATGAACTAAAGTGTTTCTGACCTTACGTTCTGTTACCTCCAATGACAGCCGGTTGAAAAGAAGATAGAGTAGATTCTTTACAAAAAAATCAAACACCTGGGGCTCCTGGGTGGCTCAGTTGGTTGAGCGTCCGACTCTTTGGCTCAGTTCATGATCTCACAGTCCTCACACTGGGCTCTGCGGTAGCAGCGTGGAGCCTGCTTAGGATTCTCTCTTCCTCTCCCTCTGCCCCTCCCCTACTTGTGCTGTCTGCATCTCTTTCAAAATAAATAAATAAGAACTTGAAAAAAATCAATCCCCTAAGTACACGTTGATTGATTTGGACTTACTCTTGATTTCCAATGCTCTTCCAAGTTACTCAAACATGTAACACTTCCACAATGTAACTGTGTCACCCACCATATCCCAATTACAGGCTTTATCACTGTGCCAACCCACCCCCTCAGCTCTCACCCCCCACTTGGCTCTTAGGAAGGAGTCCACACAATCCAGAGTTGACTGAAATACCAAACTTGCTGAGATGTCTGCTAAGCTATCTGTCATCTTTCCAAGAACCATGACAGTCACAGTAACAGCCGAACAAAATTCATAAAGATGCTAGATTTCCCAGGTGGGACAATCCTGGTTAGAAAGGTACAACAGATATCCTGCAGCCTGACCACAAGAGGCACCAGCCAATTGCTGGAGGAAAGCAACCAGCACATGGCATGTAAGGCTCACACTGGTGAACTGGTGCTGGGCCACTGGTGGATACCTGGTCATGGCCGATAAAATGGAAATGTATCCCTGTGTTTGCATACATAAGGGGTGGGCAAGTTATGGCCCATGGGCCACCTGTGACCCCCATTTGTTTTTGTAAATAAAATTGTATTGGAACACAGTCACATCCATTCATTTACATGTTGTCTCTGGTTGCTTTTGCACATGGCTGAGTTGAGCAGTTAACACAGAGACCACAAGGCCCACAAAACTAAAAACATTTACTATCTGGACTATTACAGAAAGTTTGCTGAGACCACTGTAGATGTTATACTGATATAAAAGGCCAAGGAAAATTTTACACGGGCATAAAGTAAGCATATAATTAAGTATGCTATTAATTTTACCCACTGTGGGGTGAGTTCAAATCCCATGCTATTGCTGAGTGTCCTTTTCCTTCTTTCCAGATAACCACCACTTGGACGCTCTGCTCTGTGGGCCAGGTTCTCTGACAACTGCTGCTGCTTTGGAGCCAGGCACGCTGGCCTAACCTGAGCCTCAGACCTGCCACTATGGGGAGATGTGACATGCTGTCTAACCTCTTTGATCCTCTTTGTGTATTTGTAAGGGGGAATAAGCTCATCTAAGGTTCAATACTATTAGGATGGGGGATCAGGCAGGGAGATGTGTGACCTCAGAGATGTTCACTGTTTTTACACTATCTTGCACATGGCTCTTAGTTGGGTGGAACTTTTGGTTGGTGTTGCTGGAAAGAAAGAAAACTATTTGACCTGATGTATATGGTACCAATTAGGAGATTGCCTTCTTCCTTCTCTCCGCGTACTGGAGCCTTGGCTGGTGGAGCTCCTCTTTTGTCACTTCCACCTGGGGGGCAAATCAGAGAATAAGAGTATGTTATTCTTTTTTTTTTTTTTTTTTTTTTATTATTTTTTACTTATTTATTTATTTTTTTATTTTATACAGTTTTATTATTTTATTTATTTTTTATTTTTTTTATATATGAAATTTATTGTCAAATTGGTTTCCATACAACACCCAGTGCTCATCCCAAAATGTGCCCTCCTCAATACCCATCACCCACCCTCTCCTCCCTCCCACCCCCCATCAACCCTCAGTTTGCTCTCAGTTCTCAACAGTCTCTTATGCTTTGGCTCTCTCCCACTCTAACCTCTTTTTTTTTTTTTTCCTTCCCCTCCCCCATGGGTTCCTGTTGAGTTTCTCAGGATCCACATAAGAGTGAAACCATATGGTATCTGTCTCTCTCTGTATGGCTTATTTCACTTAGCATCACACTCTCCAGTTCCATC